ATCGTATCGTGACCCCTCTGTCATATGTATCGTATCGCCAAATTCTTGCCAATACACAGCCCTAGTATCCATACGATTTGTAGTTCAAGATGGATTTTTGTTTTTTATTTGTAAATTATTGTTTGAATTTAGTTTTTTTTTTTGGAAAAAAGGGGCAGATATAAGTTTTTTTTCTTCCTTCTGCAGCCTTTCATTTTATTTCTGTGCAGTTTATCTATATAGCGCCAAATCACAGCAAACGTCTCAGGGCACTGTACACAAAAAACAATAAATAAATAACAGAATAAATCTTAAAATCATGTATTTTTTGTGTATAGAAATTTTTTTTATGAATAAATCTCTGAAATGTTGGGCTCTTTACAAAGACGCCCCATGACTTTTTAGCATTTTGTAAAGGTTTAACCCGCAGCTGAAGAGGAGAGGCGCCTGGATCAACACGAAGCTGAAGGAGCTCATCAGGTTCGGCTCAAAACTCCAGTCTCTATGGGAACAGACTTCAGCTTCAGAAAGCCTCAACACATAATAACATCCTGTTCTCATCTCACGAGGAACCGAACCGCCTCACGAAGGTGATTTTTACCTTTTAGACGTGCAGAATAATCCTGCAGCTGAGAGCTTTACCCATCAGAGAACAGGACTGAGCCCGACTTCAGATCCGTCCCTGAAGGCCTCCGACCTGTTCCCGTCGAACAGAACCAAACATCGACGCTCCAGCCTCGACCAATCAGCAGCCAAAGATGACGGAAATATCCGCAGAAAAACAAGGAAGCCTCTAATTGATGCAATTACACAAATTTATTCAAGTAGCTGTAATTACAAGCCACTTTGCAGCTTCGTGTTTTACACAGAGATGTGAAAAAAACCTCTGAAATACGCAAAGTCGAGCGGTAAATGACAACTTCTCGTTTAAATATTAAAAAAAAAAATCAAGCTCGGAACAAAGAGGTGACGTTAAATGAAAACGGATTTGTGATTTCAGTGTGAATCGTGAGTCAACCGAGAGACTCGAGGAGAGTCTGATGAAAAAAAAGCTGTTAGACGTGAAACGTTCAGGATTTCCTCATAAATATGAGCTTCAAATGAGCAGCTGTTCACCTTTAGGGAAACAGAAAACATTAAAGAAAAGGTTAAATAAATTAAACATCGGGTCAAAGAATGTGTAGATCTTATGCGTACTCCACTTCTTAGCTATTTATAAGCACAACTGTGTTGTAGCTCTTATCACAGATTTTAAAAAATGCATTTTTAAATCTACAGCTGAGGTTAAAGAGCTTCTCTTCAGTGTGAATTAAAATTAATGAGGCCTCTTGTATCAAACTGCTTCTGAGGAGCAACGGAGCAACAAAAGAAAGCCAATAAAATGAAAACAATAAAAATAAAAAATCAGAGGCGTCTTGTGAGAGAGAGAAAAGAGGGTTGGAAAGCAAACAGTTTGAGACTTTACATGAATGAAAGAGACGAGAGCTGGCAGAGCGCGCCGCAGCTTTCTGCAGAGTCAGAAATCCGACCAATCAGAGATAAGATAACAAATCAGAGTCATCCAGCGAGGAAAGGCATTTTGATCAAACGTCATGTGATCTATGAGTCCTCGGGGAACGTGTTGTGAATGACATTCAGCTACTACCGGCCCAGATTTTGGCTAAACATCTGTGGCAGCCACCTTGAATGTATGGTGTGCTATGAGGTCCAAAATTAAGATTATTGTGCAACCAGCAGTTGCTACATCCTTGTAGCAGGAAGCTGTATCTATTCCTAAGCAAGCTATTGATCTGATTAATGATAAGCTGGCCCCGCTAACTGAGAGGCCGGTGCTGGAAAATGAAAAGGAGACTAACTCATTTGCATTAGCATCAGAAAGGCTAGCAACTAGCATGGGTAAGCTGCTGTTAGCATTGGAGAGGCTAGCAACTAGCATGGATAAGCTGTGTAAGCATTAGAGAGGCTAGCAACTAGCATGGATAAGCTGGTGTAAGCATTAGAGAGGCTAGCAACTAGCATGGATAAGCTGGTGTAAGCATTAGAGAGGCTAGCATGGATAAGTTGGTGTTAGCATTGGAGAGGCTAGTAACTAGCATGGATAAGCTGTGTTAGCATTAGACAGGCTAGCGACTAGCATGATAAGCTGGTGTTAGCATTAGACAGGCTAGCGACTAGCATGATAAGCTGGTGTTAGCATTAGACAGGCTAGCGAC